AATAATGAATTCAACATTCAATTGCCCAAGATATAGAGTGGTGAGTCCTATATGGACTATAGAGTAAAATTGGAGTCCGGAACCTAAATATTACCTTTTGTGACTCAAATTATCTTAATAGATGTTTAAAAAAAATACATATCTATATATAGCGTATGAATATAACATGATATACTTTAACGGTAACTTTTGTTGTTAAGGTATAGCGTGTTGTATTCATACGCTACATATAGCGTCCAAAAAAAACGTTATACCCTGATTATGGACCCACCAATAATTTAACTGACATAACAATAATTTAAATGTATATAGCGTGTATTTAAAGAACGCTATACATCAAAAAAAATTCATATCCCGGGCTAGCCATTTCCTATATAAAGTGGTTAGGATTTTAGGAAAATTCGTTCACAAAAAATTCTAAATCCCGTTCAATTTTTTCTTGTTAAATTCTGAAGCATTTTTTTCGTAATGTCTGAATAACGTAGAATAAGAGTTTCATTATATTAGGGGGTGAGGTTGTGATGGAGAATAACTCTGTGAGGTATAGTTTATCTCCACAGGGTCATGTAAATTACCACTTACAATAGGGTACGATAAATTGATATCGTTGGTATGCAAAAAAATGGGTGTGAGGAAACGCTCAGTGATACTTAAAGTAATCGGAAGATATCCGTATTCCGTCACTCCGTAAGGGGCTGCTTTTTACTCAGATTTAAACATCTATGATGATGAAACTTTGAGGGATTTTCTGAGGACTCCGGATGAATATCGGGAATATCTCGTAATCAAAATGTTGGATATGTACGTCAAGGTCGAAGATGTTCCAAACAATAAGGTTGCCGGACAGGTTCCGGATAACCCCCAGTCATCGGGTGGCTATTCTGAAGGAGTTTGCCGGACAGGTTCCTGATGAAAGAGTTTTCTTTGATTTAAACTTATCCCCGCCTGCTTTACATAATTCACAAGACGAGTGGTAAGCTTCAATTTTCCTTTGTGTTACGATGTACATTTTTGTTGTATTGAATTTGTATTAACGCTCATATATTTAACAGTGGGTACAAGCCGGATATAAATTTTACAAATTATGAACCCAAGCATAGTTTTGGTGTGTTGGATCATGGTGGTCCATCCGAGAGCTCTCACCTAAATAAAAATGTCCATCATGGAATTTCATCACATTACGACTTGTAAGTGAAGTGATACAGCTATGTGGAAAGTATTTATTAAATTCAGTATCTTATTATTTTGTTGATTGTGCAGTGAAAACGAGCAAGTTGAACCAAATGTACTCACTCAATTACCCGAAGACGATGTATTAAATCGGGATCTGGAGATGCACAGAGTGAGGAAGAGAACAGTGATTACGACAACAATGCTGATGAATCTGGAGACGAGACACCTTTTCCTCGTGAGGATGGTGATGAGGAGGATGAGAAGGAAGGACTTGATTTGACAAGAGAGTATGCTCCCCTCCCCCTAGACGAAGAGTGTACGAGTCCCAAGTGTCATTTCATTCAAGGGAGATTCCTTACCTTGATAACTTGCCAAACATGCCGGATGTGGAAGCTCTCACAAGGGATTTTGATGAAATTCGGACAATAATGTGGGATGAGTCTAGACCAACGGTGCTGGCAAAAGGCATGCTTTTTCCTGATTAAGCGCGCCTAAGTAGGGCTTGTAAAATGCACAATGTAAAAGAGTGTTGCGAGATGACGGTATGGGAGTCAAGTTCGATTGTATACAAGGTTGTTTGTCATAGGTGGTTTTGGCCATGTCATTGGATGTTGCGTGCGAGCAAAAAGAAGACAGGTCTGTGGAAAGTGGGTAAATACATTCCCACCCACATATGGGAAATGGACACATTCAACGGGAATCACTTCAACTTGGATATTGACTTGATTTCTCTTGTTCTTATTCCACACATCGAAGCGTCCATAAGGTATAAAATCAAAGAGTGCATTACAGCAATTTACCAGGAACATGGCCATACCATTACTAAAAGAAAGACATATCTCGGGTGCAAACGAGCGTTTGAAATAGTCTATGGTAACTGGGATAAGTCATTTGCAGATCTGCCTAGGTACATGGTTGCACTGTAGTAGTTTAACCCTGGGACGGTTGTTGAATGGAAGCTAGAGCGGATTTCAGGTAAACCAGAATATATATTCAATTACGTGTTCTGGGCGTTTAAACCAGCAGATGGCGGAGAGGTTTGTTGAAAGGTCTGCAGCTGCAACGTTATTGATGGAAAGGGGTGTTGAATTTATGCCAGTGGCGATGAAGAGATTTGAGAAATATAGACGGCGAGCGCATTGGCATTCATTTTTGTAGTATGATAACGAAAGAAATATTTTTGAAGTTCGCACCGCTATCTATCAAAATCGAGGTAATAATGTACATTCTGTAAATGAATCTACAAGGTTATGCTCTTGTGGGAAATGGTCCATCTACCACATGCCTTGCTCACATGCCATCAAGTGCTTTCAACAAGTTGGTTTAGGTGTAACCAACTATGTTGATCAACAATATAGTGTTGCGAAGTAACTAAACACATATAGTGGGCAGTTGCAGCCAGTGGATGCTGAGCATTATTGGCCGCCTGAACTATTTAAAATGGTGTGTAACAAGTCCTATTTGCGTTGAATACAGATAAAGAAGAGAACGCTTATACGGAACCAAATGGATGTTAGTGATACCGTTTATGCGTGCAGATGTGGTATATGCTCGCAAACAGGACAGGACCGTCGAAGATGTCCTTTGGGTGGCAATAGTAATCAAGCTCGTGGTGGGTGTTCTTCTATTGTGCCTAACTATCAATGAGTATGTATTGTAATATTTAGTTGTTTTGTTTATGTTGCAAGATTTATAAAATAAAATTATATTTGTTAATTATGAGTTGAATTTCTCCTTTTCAATTTTTTAATGATAATAAAAAAATTATATATTCGGAAGAACTGGAAACAATATTGAAATTTCATAAATTTGATTAATTTATGTATGTGTGTTGTCTTGTCGATCTGATAAAGCTTCCCAATTGACATAAAGTTGTTTCGTACCCGTTAGAACATTTGACACGCAAGGCATAGCGCAGGTAAATACTACGTTATATCTATATATAGCGCGGTTAAATAGTACGTTATGTGTGTGTATGTTGTCTTGTCGATCTGATAAAGCTGCCCAACTGACATAAAGCTGTTTCGTACCCGTCAGAACATTTAACACGCAAGGCATAGCGCGGGTAAATACTACGTTATGTATATATATAACGCGGTTAAATAGTACGTTATGTGTATGTGTTGTCTTGTCGATCTGATAAAGCTGCTCAACTGACATAAAGTTGTTCCTACCCGTCAGAACATTTAACACGCAAGGCATAGCGTGGTTAAATATTACGTTATGTCTATATATAGCACGGTTAAATAGTACGTTATGTGTGTTGTCTTGCCTATAAATGACGAGCTCATTATACATATTTTTTGCGCTAAAAAATAACTAATAGCAAATCTTTCAAGAAAAGCGAGTTTTTTTAACAGAAAAATGTCTCAACCACTTTATGTACCAAGGTGCAAGTGCAGAAAAAAAAATGTCAGATGCAAAATTGTTGGGATAATGGTGAAGCTGGACGCCGCTTTTGGGAATGTTTGAACAAGTTTTATAAGGTTCCCGGCGAACCTATTTGCGATTTTGAGGTATGGATTGATGAACCCTGTCATCAGAAATACTACAAAGAATTGTTGAACGATCTTAATGATTTGTGTTTAAAACAGTGGGAACGTGAAAAACAACTTAAAAAAGAGGTTGTGGAGTTGAAAGCAAAATTTAAAGAGGTAGAAGAAGAAAAAATAAGTTGTTAGAACAATTTAAGTAGTTGGAGCATAGAGTAATGGGCGGCAGTGACTAAATGTATGTGTTTAGTATATCACTTTATCTTTATGTTTCCTGTGTCGTATTTTTTTAAGTTGTACTGAATTTTAATTATGTTAAGTTGCTATGTTTGTGTTCGTGTTGTAGTATTAAACTAAAATAGTTGTAATAAACTTTATTTTCATTCATTGTAATGGAATTTAAGTTTTTACGACTTGTATTTGTATTGTAGTACGAAACTAGCTTATTAACAGAGAAATAAAAAAGTAATGCACATATTATATAAAAGTTGTTCTTAATGTATATACAAAAATATTATTTACATATAATATAAAAAAAGAATAAAATCAATGTGTCCCGCATCCAGTGTGCTTCAACGCAGCCGCTGGCCTGAGGCGCATCGCATCCCGCCTGGGTACGCTATCAGGATCGTCATCATCAAGTCGCCTCCTTATAGCCGGATGCGCCGCTGCATGATCATCAGTGGTGCTGACAGGATCAGTAGAAGGGGCCGTCAGTCCAGTAGAAACCTACATAAAAATAAAAAACTCAGTATAACAAAGTATATAATAAGTCACAACAATTTAAATTGTCGTACCACTATCTTGTCGGGCTCCTGAATGTAATCATCTGTCGCAGCCATGTCAACATCGCGTTCAGCCTTAAAAATGAAATTAACAAAGTTATGAAAAATAAAGACAAATTATAATTCAATACTATGAAAACCATACATGCGCCCGTGATGATGAACCATAACTCAGTCGGCGCCCACTATGTAAATCTCGGGTCGACCGATCCTCAGCAATAGTAGACGGGCCTGGAAAGTATGTATCACAATCTACTCCAGAAAGGTGTGTGCCCGTGATCAATAATTGACCTGACGGGGTCACCTGCGAAGTTCCTAGAGTGAGATCCATCCCAAGGTTGTATGACGGCATGTCCGTCTCATGTAGGCCACCCGGCAGATTGGCAGCAACATAATCAACAGGGGCCTCAACGCCCCCTTGCTGGGGACCACCTTCTTTCCGCCCACCGCCACGTCGTCCAGCACCCCCGCCTCGTCGGGCACCACCACCTCGTCAGGCACCTTCACCACGTCGGGCACCACCACCTCGTGCCACACCAGGGCTTCGCTCTTACAGCTCTGGCTCCACATAATCAGGCATGTGTGCCAAACGTTGATCCTCCCGGGCTCGCTGTAGTGTCCGGGAAGCCAACTCTACAAATCGACGGCTGTAATCCTGCAAGGCGTCCACAGGGTCGCCGACATAATCCTGCATCTGCAGTCCCATCTGATAGACTGTATGTAGTCTAATAGCCTGCACAACGTATAAAATATAAACTACATATACTGCACTAAAATAAAATATATTATAATGAATAATAACAGAAAACATACCAGCGCCTCGTGTCGCCCGGCGTATGGAACGTACCGACCGCTAGCCTGATGAATAGGGTTCCCGATAAAACTTTGGGTGACGTGCCAGTACCAGGATATATACCTCTGAATAGCCACCTCCTGGATCTGTGTAGGTGGGGGTGGATTCATCTGATCTCGATGGTCCCAAATATGTATCTGCGCTACTAACCATGCCGTAAATGCATCGTCCGCCCTGTAACGATCATCCCTCTGATAATGTGTAGGTTCCCATATAGGCCCCCTCGGTATATACTGCGGGCGGCCAAACTGCCGAAGTACCCACTCCGAGGCATGATGCTCCACAATATCGAGGCATATGAGTGGGGCAGAAGTGCTCCAAATCAATCGGTCGACCGAGTAATAAGCTGGCAGGGAAGCTATCAAATCGTCATTGTATGGCGTCCAAATGAACTATCAAATAAGAACATGAAATGTGAGTATGCGCAATACTAAGTTAATCTACACCAGGTAAGTTTAGGTACATATTTACATGTGCGCCCTCTAGCAGATCCAACACATCCCTGCAGAGGGGGAGATTATGATGAGCATCATACTCTCGTGAAACTGTACGGCGGAGAACCTACCTCCGGGCTAGAGGGAGAAACGGAGGTGCTACATTATGAGGTAATTGTGGTCGAGGTGGCTGAAACTGCAAGAACCACTCCCAGGCCCAAACCTAACATACAAAGTTGACGTAAGGTTTAAGATAAATTCTAACTAGGTAGATTTGGAACTGATGAACAGATTATTTGAATATGTTACCTATAGAAGTGGCATAAAACCACAAACATCTCTTCGGGTACTCATGCTCGCCCGGCACATCTGCCTATACATGTAGCCAAGAACAGCAACACCCCAGTTGTAATAGGGTAACTCATCTAGCAGCTAAAGATGATGCAAAAATCTCAGGCTGACTAGGTTCCCCGAAGTGTTCGGGAACAAGACCCCTCCAAATAGAAGAAGCAACAACAACCTTGTATACTAGGTGATATGTACCTCCACTGTATCGTCGATGATATCGGGGTGGAGTACCTCCAGGTACTGTCTAATAGGGGTCAAAGTCAACCGACTAGCACCCGACGATGCAGTCTCGTCTTGTGGCCTGAAACCCGTGAGCTACTGCAGCATGTCCAAATAAGCATCACGCGACATATATCTCATAACAATAGGCAGTGAAACGGCCATGCCATCAACGGGCAGGCCATATAAAACCTCTACGTCCTACAGCGTGATAGTAGCCTCGCCAATGGGCAGGTGAAAAGTGTGTGTCTCTGGTCGCCACCGCTCAATTAATGCCGTGATCAAAGCCCAATCAACCTGTATCCGCCCGATCTTAATAATCCTATAGAATCCCGTATCCTGGAGGCGATGGACTACACGCTCGTGGAGATCTCTGTGCCTCAGAAAATCCCACAGGTCGTCCACGCTCCTAGCACGGAGAATCTGGGACAGTAACTCTCCCTTCCATATATAGGCGGACCTATGATCGCCCTGAAGCACTAATATCTCAAGAGAGTAAGGGCTGGGATATATAGGTGTGTCCATGTCGTCAACTGTAAATTAAACAACATTAATTGTATGTTTATTATTTGATTGTACAAAGTATATATAACAATTGGGTTCCGGGCTCGATATTTGAGGCTCATTAGCACCAAACTATCATTAATATTTATGCGTGTCAAATTCAATTTTTTGATTATTTTGTGAGTGTTTGTTTTATAATTTAAATTCTTAATTTTTAATTATTTAATTATACAAAGTATATATAACAATTGGGTTCCAGACTCGATATTTGAGGCCCAGTAGCACCAAACTATCATTAATATTTATGCGTGTCAAATTCAATTTTTTGATTATTTTGTGTGTGTTTGTTTTATAATTTAAATTCTTAATTTTAATCAGTTGATTGTACAAAGTATATATAACAATTGGGTTCCAGGCTCGATATTTGAGACCCAGTAGCACCAAACTATCATTAATATTTATGCGTATCATATTCAATTTTTTGATTATTTTGTGTGTGTTTGTTTTATAATTTAAATTCTTAATTTTTAATTATTTGATTGTACAAAGTATATATAACAATTGGGTCCCAGACTCGATATTTGAGGCCCAGTACTCCAGTAGCACCAAACTATCATTAATATTTATGCGTGTCAAATTCAATTTTTTGATTATTTTGTGTGTGTTTGTTTTATAATTTAAATTCTTAATTTTTAATTATTTGATTGTACAAAGTATATATAACAATTGGGTGCCAGACTCGATATTTGAGGCCCAGTACTCCAGTAGCACCAAACTATCATTAATATTTATGCGTGTCAAATTCAATTTTTTGATTATTTTGTGTGTGTTTGTTTTATAATTTAAATTCTTAATTTTTAATTATTTGATTGTACAAAGTATATATAACTATTGGGTTCCAGGCTCGATATTTGAGGCCCAGTAGCACCAAACTATCATGAATAATTATGTGTGTCAAATTCAATGTTTTGATTATTTAATTGTACAAAGTATATATTTTCATCTACCATTATAAGAAATACTTAAATTATAGGGATTCTACATTAAAATACTATACAATTTACTACTCTAAAAGTTTCTACATTTTACCACGCTAATAAATAAACTAAATATAAACAACAAATATATTTTAATCACATAACATTCAAAAAAATACATATAACATGCTAGTTTCGCAAATAAAACACAAAACGACATGGAAACACTAATATCTAAATTCGGATATTAACATAAAAAATTAAATCTCAATTTTATATTTTTTTAGAACACTAATATCTAAGTTCCGATAAATATAACATACTAATTTAGCAAATAAAATACAAAACGGCATGGAAGCATTAATATCTAAATTCGGATATTAACATAAAAAATTAAATCTCAATTTTACATTTTTTTAGAACACTAATATCTAAGTTCCGATAAATATAACATACTAATTTAGCAAATAAAATACAAAACGGCATGGAAGCATTAATATCTAAATTCGGATATTAACATAAAAAATTAAATCTCAATTTTACATTTTTTTAGAACACTAATATCTAAGTTCGGATAAATATAACATACTAGTTTCGCAACTAAAATACAAAACGACATGGAAACACATTCAATCAACTAATATACATTATTATACAAGTTTGCATATAAAATAAATCGAAATACCTCGATGTAGTGTGTTTTGTGTGAAAATTTGAAGACGAAGGAATTAAACCACAACAATACGATGCTCTACTACGATGTGAGACCTACGTTCAATACCTTTTGTGTGACGGGTGGGGCCCACAATTTTTTTTTATTAAAACGAGCAGTGGGGGGGGAGGGGGGCCAGAAGCAGGGGGTTTTAAAAAAAATGGGGAAAAGGGTTCTGGTCGGAGAAGAAGACGAAGGGCAGTATTTAAATGAGGGTATAGCGTTTTTTTTCCATACGTTATATATAGCGTACAATAACAAGACGCTATATATGACAGTCAAATCGTCAGGCGATATATATAGATAACGTCATTTGCCGTTAAGGTATAACGTGTTGTATTCATATATATATATATATATATATATAGATATATTTTTTTTAACACCTATTAAGGTAATTTGAGTGAAAAAAATAATATTTGGGTTCGATCGAGTACTCCTTAGTACCAATCAATTGTCCTCTTAGGGATGGTTTGGCTATCGATAATAGACTTTTAATTATCTCGATACAAAATTGAGATTATATTTATCACATATTTAATTATTAATATTAGTTAAAATCATATAAACTTTACACCAAAATTTTGATATTATGTATATCATATAGGATGTGAAATAATAATCCCATAATATCCTTGCTCCGAAGCAAACGACCCCTTAAAGTTAAAAAGCAAAATCATAAGAGAATCATTAAGGGTGTGGCTTATTGTTACTGACTCTGACAAAAATCTTGAAAGACCAGGTAAATATTTATACAAAAAACGTTGGATAATTCTTTCTCTTTTGACTATGTTTTGCTGGTTACCCAATATTTATGATGGTTATTGAGGTATATAACAAGTATCTAATGGGAATAGTCATGATACATGTATACTATCTCAAACACCTCTGTTATCAAACAATATGGTACTAATAAATTAAGACAAGCTTTTATATTAGAAAAACAAGTTTAGATGTTTATACTAAATCAATGAATATATAATAATATGTGTTTTTTGTGTATACTTTTATCAACCATTGTTTAAGCAGTACTATTTCATCTTAACCTATCACTTAATTGGAGTCCATTACTCAAATGATCACTCAACTATCTCAAATTATCTATAAAAGTCATTTTTCTTTCGTTTGTAATAATAAAGTCACTTAAATATGCCTATAGCACTCAGAAGTATTTTACCAAAAAAAAGTATGAAGCATTTCTTTAAAACGAATTTATGAGAGAATAGAGGATAAATCCTAACCAAGGATAATTAACTCTAGGTCAAAGAATATTGAATAAGAAAATAGGATATAATTAAGCTCATAAACTTTTTAAGATTATAAAAGGTATCGATTATAAATGACGGGATTACATTCTTGACGTACTATTCTGTAATGTAAGAATAAAGAAGAAAGAGAAGGAATACCATTGACAATTACGAGATCTATCCTTATTGATTCAATAATGATGATTACAAAGATCAGAAGCCAAGATCTAAATCTTCTCTTGTTTTCCTTCGAAACCTTCTCTCGTTCTTCTGTGTTTTTAGAAGAAGCCAAAAAAGTCCCCTTTCTTGTTCTCTTACCTAGTATATCTATAGTAAGTATTCTCCTTTATCCAACGGCCCTTAGCCAGAATACCCTAATCTGCCGATTGTACTTTAGGTCGTCCCCCCTAAATGCCACAACATAAACTGTAACGACCCGACCAGTCGTTTTGAATAAGTACAACCACGTCTCCCCATATACTGCTAAATTCATGCTTCACGATTCTTATGTAACTTGCCGGGGAAATTGGTTCGGGTTCGGAAAGGTATTTGAAAGGAATTGAGACACTTAGTCTTCAAGAAGAGCGCTTAAGTTGAATTAAATTGACCGGAAGGTGAAATATGAGTAAACGAATCCGGAATAGATTTTTGATGATTCCAATAGCTCTGTATGGTGATTTTGGATTTAGGAGCATGCCTGTAAAATTATTTGGAAGTTTGTAGTTTAATTAGGCTTGAAATGGCGAAAACGAGAAGTCGTAGTTTGGAAATTTGACCGAGAGGTTGACTTTTTGATATCGAGATCAAAATCCTTCTCAAGAAGTTGGAATAGCTCCATTATGTCATTTTATGACTTGTGTGCAAAATTTGGGGTCAATCGGACTTGATTTGATAGATTTCGGCGTTGTTTGTGGAATTTGAAAGTTCCTAAGTCCTTAGGCTTGAACCCGAGGTGGATTTGGTGTTTTGGTTTTGTTTGGAGTAATTCGAAGGCTCGACTAAATTTTGAAGATGTTATGGGATGTGTTGGTATAGTTGGTTGAGGTCCCGGGGGCCTCGTCATGTGTTTCGTGGTGAATTTCGAGCGAGTCCGGGCATTTTGGAACTCTGAGATGGGTCTGACACATTTGGGAGTGCGGACCACACCAAAAATATGCATACCACATAATGGTGTGCGGATCGCACTAAATGGTGTGATGTCTCATACCAAAATGTTCTGCAGGATCGGTTGTCCGACTTTGGAAGTTCATATCTTTTAATCTACAAGAAATTTGGAGATGATTTAAACACGAAAATTGTAGATCTTTGAATCTAATTTTCAGAAACATATTATAACAGTCATTTGGATATCTGTAGCAAAAGTTATATCCAAAATACCAAAGTCTGCCACTGTAGTCAAATCCACCGCGGTCAGCACTGGTTTCTGTCACGAGGCTTAGGTTTTTATTTCATATTTTGACCTAAAGAGCTCGGATTTTGGCGATTTTTCGAAGGTTTTTGAAGAAATTCATCGGAGTAAGTGATTTTAACTCGGATTTGGATAGAGTACATAAATCTATCATTGGATTCATCATTTGATTCATGATTTGGGATGAAATTTGGGAAGAAAATTTGTGAAACCTTTCGAGTGGGCTTTGTTTCCTTAGAATATTTTGATGGTTTTGTACTGATTTTGGTTAGATTTGGAGTATCTGGAGGCCGATTCGAGAGGCAATGGCATCGTGGGATAGAGTTTGGACCGGATAGAGGTAAGTAATGATTGTAAATGTTTGTCCTGAGGGTATGAAACCCCGGATTTCATATTGTTGTGCTACTTTGAGGTGACACACACGCTATATGACGAGCGTGGGTCGTGCACTGTTGGGGATTGTGACTTAGTCCGTCCCGTATGATTGTTAAACCACGTATTTGATTGAAAACTGTTTGATATCATTATGTTTTGGAAAGTTTTATCATATTTTGGGCTGAAAGCCATATTTGGGCCTCGTGCCAACTGTTTTGGACCCTTAGGGGATTTTTACTACTATTCCTTACTGTTTTGACGTCATATTTGTACTCAGTCATGTTGTATTCTACTGTTTTCAT